AGTCACAGCGGTGGCACAACTTGAACTGCGTGAACAGGGTACGGAGGGGCGGGAGCGCCTTCTGTTGTGAGGATGTTCCACGCGCGCACTGCTACGGGGCAGTCAGGGTACCACAAGCTCTGACCCAGTTCCCCATCTTACCCTCTCCCCACCCGCCACGAGGCCACCCCTCTGACTCTTGCTGGCGTAGACGGCTGGTGGTGCCGCACATACATGGGCTGCTCCTTCCGGTACCTCGTGGTTTTGAAAGTAGGAAAACAGCGGCACCAGGAGCCTGGTCTTTCTTTCTCGACGGGGAAGAGCATCACTGTGGGCATCAGCAGCCTGAACGCCAAGAGGTGGAGGTCTGACGTCCATCCGTCCGTCCGTCCGTCCGCCCTCCAACCTGCCTGCCCACTCCGACACCAGCCATTCCTCCTTCACGGACTCGCTCCTCCTCTACTGAGTTCAACCAGTGAGGAATCGCCCACACAGAACTCACAGGCCGCGTTCATTAGGAAATTAAGATGCGCACACAGTGCCACCAAGCCGATTCTGACTCGGAGTAGCCTTGTGGGACAGAGTCGAGCCCCTCGGAGTTTCTGAGGCTGTAAATACTATAGGAGCAGCTGCTTTCTTCTCCCTCAGAGCCGCTGGTAGGTTTGAACTGCAAACCTCAGAGCAGCCTGACTGCAGCAGCACACCAGGGCTCCGCTCTTGGGGAAGTACAGTAGAACCCCGGACCTCGATGCGAATCCGTTCTAGCAGGAGCATCAAGATGCGATGCAGTCGAGCTCTGAATCAATTTTTCCATAAGAAATAACTGAAACGGATTAATCTGTTCTCGACCACCAGGTGTTTACCCCAACCTTGCCTTTTTATACAAAACGTGACACGGAAATTTCAAAGCCAGTGAGTTCAGAGTTAAATAATATAAATTAAATAAGAAACAACATTAAATGAGTTTGTAACAACTACAGCATGGCCTATCCCTTGAGCCGGATGAGGATCTGGATCTGTGGACACGCATGTGGAGAGGAGGTGTGGAGAGAGAGGCAGTGTTTGGAAGGGGCATCCCCTTCCATCAAATCAACTGGTACCTGATTTTCAGGAGTTTTCCTCCCTTCTTTGCCTTTTTCCACTAGGACCTGGCTGGCTGTCACTAAAAAAAAAATCTGTCTAATGAGGTCTGCTGTGGGCATTTCCTTAACTGTTTTCTAAAAGGGTTTACTACATTATTATCAACAACATCAATAACACGTTTAACCAGTTCCTTATCATGATGATTCTTTTAAAAAAAACTCTTAGGGCCCATGTTTTTTTATCTAAAAAAACCACAAAAACTAAGGAAATTATAGCAAAATGCTTGGAACACAGCCGCAAAGGTTTAAACCATGCATACTAACAATTCCAACTACCGCCGAGTGACCGAAACACAAACTGCTTTTGTTTACAAATATCACGTGCGTCGGGTTGGATTCCGATGTTTTGTTCGATGCAAAATTTTCTCAACATTTAGCATTGAAATCCGATGATGTCAAGTACTGATGCAGTAAAGTACCAGGGTTCTACCACAACAGGATACAATTTAGGATCAGGGAGGACTCAGGACACAGTTCTTTGGTCAGTCATGCAGACGGCCCCTGGGCCTGGCCTCTGCCATACTCAAGCAAGGGTTACATAACTCTGTATCTTTGCCAGTAAGTGCCTGGGGGCACCCCACTCCACTAGGAAGCCTCCTGCTGGGAGGTGCCCCGCTCTCTTGTTCCCTGGGTCAGCATGCCCTCTGCAGCCACCTCACTCTGATCCTGAGCTGACATCTGGGTTCTGTTGCTGCTTCTTGCCATCGTGGCATTACAGCTCCCTCTGCCTCCTGGGTCTAGGAGGTTCTCAGCAAAGAGATTCCAGGTCCCAAGAACATGCTTGTTCCCATTTCTTCTTGGTTCCGTGAGGCCCTCCCCTTGCTTAGAGATCAGCTCTCTTATTTAAAACCTACTGGGATGTCAGAACCAACCCATCTCCTCCTCGCGGCTATAAATACCTTATTTGCACGCCCAAGAGTTCAACACACCCAATTTGCATTCCTAGCGGCTGCCCAAGCCCTTGTTGGTGGGTGCCACTGAGTCAGTTCTGACTCACAGTGACCCTGTGTACCACGGAGTGAACACTGCCCAGTCCTGCGTGACCCTCACATGGCTCTTAGGTTTCAGCCACGGTGACAACCGGTCTTGCAGAAGGGCTTCCTCTGTGTTTGCTGCCCCAGGACTTGAGGAAGCATGGCATCCTTCTGCAGGGACTGCTCTCTCCTGAGGACGTGAGATGGTGACTCACCGTCCTTGCCTCCAAGGAGCTCTCTGGTTGTGCTTCTTTCGTGACAGATGTGTGTTCTTCGGGCCGGCCGGGGTGCTTCCAATAGTCTTCGCCAGCACCACAGTTCACATACATCGATTCTTTTTCAGTCTTGCCTATCCAACTTTGATAGGCCTATGAGGCAACTGACGATACCACAGTTTGGGTCGGACACACCTGGGTCCTCAAAGGGACACGCTGGCTTTCCGACACTCTACAGAGGCCTTCTGCAGCAGATCCACTCAATGTAATTTGTCTTTGGATTCCCTCGACTGCTGCTCCTGTGAGCATGGACTGCGGATCTAAGCAAGACAAAATCCTTAACAACTTCGATCTTTTTTCCGTTTACCGTGATGCTACCTACCAGCCCAATCCCTTAGTGGCTTACAAACAGCATACTTGTGTGGAAAACCCACCCATGGCCGGAAGGGCCATATCAGGTCTTTCCCTGCACTGTGCCCATCACCCACAACTGCCTTCTGTGGGGCGTCAGCTGGCCTCTTTGATACCACCTGTAGTGGGTGGAACAGCAGCCCCCAACAAGATAGGCCCACATCCTCAAACCTGGGGACATGATCTTATTTGGACAAAGGGTCTTAGAAGGTCTGATCAAGTTAAGAACCTTGAGACAAGGAGATCAACCTGGATTTTCCAGGTGGACCAAC